TGTAGTTTTACCATAATGTCAACATTACAGTCCAAATCTTTAAAGGTTTTTCGACTTAGGCAATTATTTCTTATGACCACAAATATCTTTTAATCCGATTTCCAACAAGATAATCCACTGAAAACTAAAAATCTATAACCTAATAATCAGTGTGAACACCTACATATGTGCATTTTGTAACAGCATTATATTTTTAGATAAGCTCAGGTATAAATAATTTATACAATAGCCTAGTTATCTGGTTACGGAATTATAACTTTGTTATCCGATTTTGAACAAGATAATCTCCAAAAAAAGAAATATCTATAACCTAATAATCAAAAAGAGGTGAATACCTGTGAACATTTGAAAAATTCTTACGTCCATCCGTTATCCACTTTCCCCTTGGGAAAGTAACTAAATGTTCAAATTTCGATGACATTTTTTATTACATAATATATTTTGAAAAATGCCACTATACGTACAAAAGAATATAATTCAAATGTTCTCCACGGTGCAGTGAAATAAGGCCCGCGGAAATAACCAATTTATTATTTTTGTACGTGTTTTTGCAACCAATTACCGCGCACTTCATTTTAATTATATTGTAGAAGAAGTTTATTGAAAATCCCATAAAAATCACTGAAATAAACCACCGCAAAATACACATAAAGGAAGAGATATTAAAAACAAAACAGAAATAGCGAACTTCAATATTACGACGTCATGCACTTTTTTCTCAAATGTTATTGCAAATGGCCGCTTGTCAACCGGTAAGATCTGTTCTAATCAGAACATAACTATTATAAGAGAAAATAATGAAAGTCAATCAATAATCATTATATTAAGATAAATATTTTTCGAGTCATCTATATTTATTATTCAAGGACTTATTAATAAAAGTCCTTTCATAATAATTATCAGAGAGATAAAGGTTTTTAAGTCTCCAAAGACTTTTATTTTAAGACTTATAAACGTTTTTTATAATAATTATCATTGAGATAAATATTTTTAAGCCTTCAAAGACATTTATTTTAAGACTTATATTATAAAGGTATTTTCATCATAATTATGAGCGCGAAAAAATTTTTTAAGTCTTAAAAGACGGAACTTGTTCGGGAGCATTTCAGGATTAGTTGGGGACCAGTTCGGAGATAGATAGGGACCAGTTTGGGACTAGTTGGGGAGCAGTTTGCGACAGTTTGCACAAGACTTTTATAATATAAGTCTGAAAATAAAAGTCTTTGAAGACTTAAAAATGTTTATCTCAATGATAATTATTATGGCAAGACTTTTATAATATAAGTCTTTGAAAGACTTAAAAATGTTTATCTCAATGATAATTATTATGATAAGACTTTTATAATTTAAGTCTCAAAATCAAAGTCTTTGAAGACTTAAAAGTATTTATATCGCTGATAATTATTATGAAAAGACTTCTAAAATACTAGTTATCGATGACTTAAAAAATTTTCTCACACAATTATTTTCAAAAGACTTTTATAATTCTTACAAAAATGTTGTTGTTTTTTTAAAACCCCACCATGAAATAATTATTATGCTGGGTCTCTGGTTCTAATTGATTCATGCATTAGTGGGGTGGAAATGAAAAGCTGACAGTTTTCACAGCAATCCCGCGGAACTGCTCTCGGAGGGCCTTTAGACTTCTTCGACAGATACAAAACACACAGCTGCAATTAAATTATAGAAAATGTAATAAATAATGAATTTTTTAAATTAAGGGGTTACATTTTTTTCGTTTTTTAAACAGTGGCATCGTTTTTATCGTCTCCAAATCCATATGCAAAGACAATTTGTTTGTAAGAGATCCGGTGTTTTTTGTATGTTTTTTCGAAGTACACTATTTTTGACCAATTTTTTTAAGGTCAAGGAGTAATTATGGGACAATGGTAGTATTTTGCCGTGAAAGGGAATGACATAGACTTTCAAAACCATTTTGTATGATATCAAAATTTTTCTTCTATCTAAATAGCTACGATTAATGCCCATTGTTTTCAAAAAGCACACGGTGCCCCATCCATAGTATTTTTTAATCACCTCGAAATTTACAAAAAAGTGCATATTTCAAACCGAATTTATTAATACACTAGTGCACGAAAATCTTTGTTTTAAATTTGAGTTTATTGCTATGACCAGTGTTGCTATTTTGGTGCTAGATATAGCTCTTTATTTTCCTATTTAGCTCCGAATCAGAATTTAGCTCCTAGCTAGAATTAGGAGTTAGCTCCTAGCTCTTTTAGGGATGTTCCGATATAAGTAAATACGAGTATGTACTCGATACTTTTGTTTTTT